GAGTAACGTGACTCTACTCTCCGCGAGTAACGTGACTCTACTCTCCGTGAGTAACATGACTCTACTCTCCGTGAGTAAGATGACTCTACTCTCCGTGAGTAACAATCATTCCTGAGAGCTTTGAGGAGTGAAAAAGAAGTCCGGCCTCGATCAGAAAGAGTGTTTTGCAGCTGCAAAACTGAGAAAAGATTTTAGAATATTTTGCATTTAACAACAGATGAATAAATACTCAAACAAGGGACACAGTCTTGCGAATGTGTGATATAAATGAAATAGCTTGAATTGATTCGTTAGTTTCTGACATTGTGGAACTTCCTGTTTCTTATTTCTCTCCAAAGTCTTGCCAGTAAGTGGCCGCTAGCTACTTACAACATGAATAACTGCAACAACACGGACGAGTAAGTGTGAGCATATCTGTGTCAGTCGATTGTTTTAGAGTCATCATGCTGGACATCATGGTTCGTATCGCGTAGCTGATGTGGTATATTCTGCAGTAAATAGCAACGCTAGAAACAACATGTCTTTTAATTCCCGGTCCCCGTTTGGTGTTTCCTGCTGCATTAATAATAATAATAATACATTTTATTTATATGGTGCATTAGACAGATGAAACCTTTTTGTTGCAAGTTATGATGCGGGTCGTACTGATGTAACCTTCAGGGGCATTCTGATGTTTCGTGGTAAACAGTAAACTCACCCATCTACACACCTGTAATAGTACGATGCCATCTGCTGGACCAAAGTGTGACCTGCACCACATCTTCTAACAAAGAATCCAGAAACTGTGAATCTTCCACTAGACCTCCTCCTTCCTGTAGTCTGGTAGCCCCTCATAGGCCACCACCTCCGTCCCTTTTTCACCACCATGAAAAAAAACAACTAAACTTGTGATTCGTAGCAAAAAAGAGGAGATTAAAAAAGAAGAGAAAAAGGAGGAGGAGAAGAAAGACGAGGACAAGAAGGATGAGAAGAAGGAGGAGAAGAAAGAGGAGAAGAAGGATGATAAAAAGGATGATAAGAAAGATGATAAAAAGAAAGAGGAGCCCCCGTAAGTACACCATTAGACACAGTCTACTGGGGCTACTGGGAAATGTAATCACAGGAAACACATCTGTCTGTTTGATACTTACTGTATGAACAACTAACACAAAGTAATATTGAGTTGTCTTTAGGAAAGAAATCTGGATTATGGATCCGGCTGCAGACCAGTACTACCGATGGCTGACCGTCATCGCGGCTCCAGTATTTTATAACCTCATCATGATCGTAACAAGGTATCGTCCATCTAACCTGCTCCTGAACGTCACTCAGTGAGGCCTGTTCACTGAATAAACGTGTCCTTGTCTCGTAGATCCTGTTTTAACGAGCTCCAGGACTCATATACAAACCTCTGGCTCTTCTTGGACTACACCACGGACATCATCTACTTCACAGATACGTTCGTCAGATCAAGAACAGGTTAGATTCTAATTTCAATATGTGCACCTTAGAAATAGAATAGGAGTGAAAGGACAGCTGGAGTGGCGGACATTTTTTTTGTGTCTCGTTGCCATTGCGACCCTTGAAGGTGTCACAGTTCACAAAAAGCACCCAAATGCATGACTCAGGAGGCAAAGAAGTAAGTACAAGAGTCTTTACTGAGAAATACAAGGATCAAAATCCAGAAGGAGTAGGAGAAGAGCTCAGCAGAGGCTAAATCCAAATTACATGATCAGGATAAAAAAAACTACAGGAATGCTGGAAAGCTACGGGACAAGGCTCGGAGACAACATATTAAGTGAACTGGTAAATATGGACAAGGGAGCAGATGAGGGAATGAGAACCAGGTGAGTGTGGTAGAGCAGGTGAAATGATGTTATTGGCAAAACACCGGCTGGAGGTGATTGTTAGAGCCACAGACTGTATATAAGAAGTGGACGTAGTCATTGTGACGTCACTCATTGGATTGGAACCAGGAAGCAACCTCCGGTTCTTTAAAGTGAAGTCAAAGCTTCATGTGTTAAAGCTGCAT